ACGACGACGACGACACACACACACACACACACACACACACACACACACACACACACACACACACCACACACACACACACACACACACACACACACACACACACACACACACACACACACACACACAGAACAGAGAGAGTTTGTAAGGGTAATTACACATTAATTAATTTAAATTTTAGAAGAATCTAGTGAGTTAATAAGTTGATAATTAAACTATTGATAATTATAATGACTATTGATAATTAAAAGATACATACATATTGATATTATATATTTAATTATATTTATAAGTCTTAAATACACTTTACAGTACTTTTACTATTTTTACAACTTTAAGAAACATATTCTCAATTTTCTTAAAAACTTTCTTAATCGTTTTTTAATATCTCTCTTTTCTTAATATTTCTAAAAATGTATTACATATTTTTGAAAGACTTGAGAAGATTTGAGAAGAAAAGTTAATTTTTTGAGAAACGTAGAATTACTAACTTTATCGATTTGTTCGGTATCTGCAAAGAAAAGAGAAAAAGAGGGGAAGAAAGAGAAATGGAGGAGGGGCAATATATCTTAAATAATGTTTTCTTATTACTCAAATCCCGCTCAAATCCCGCCAAAAAAAAACAGTATATTTTGGCGCAATAATTTTGTCCACCTAGATTGCGAAAATACACTGTATGTTGAGTGGATAGTCTGAGTGAACGTCTTTTGTCCCAACATAAATTTTTGTATGCGTTATGCATTTATTAAAAACAAAGAGAAAGTGAAATCTGCCAGGAAAGCAAGAGGAAGGGGAGAAAGAGGACCTGTGTTATACAGGGTGTCTCAGAGCAATGGGGATTATTTTCGTGTGTAGATAAAGCCGACTAAACTGAGTCGAAAAGACCTCTATCCTTTTGCAATTTTCGCAATAGTTAACGAATTATTAATTCTTAAAAATCACCGTATTATAGTTCAACTCACTGGCAAATGCAAGCGCGCGGTAAGATATTCCCGCCTGATGATCATCGTTGTCATCTTATGATTAATGGAAATTTTTTTTCAATATAGATAAAGAGACTAAAAAATTATATAACTATAACTGTTATATCCGAATTTTTATTTCCAAAATTTATTCCTATTCCTAATATTTCCTCCATTGTGCGCCTTACTTATTTTTGAAAATGTCGCAGAATCTGATTCATCGATATATCGAAATGGAAACGAGCCAGTAATGTCACGACGCGATAAATCGATATATCTCTGGATCTAGGTGTGACACTCCCTCTCCTCTATTATCATACCTAACCTCAAAGTACGGTCGCAACATGGACATCGATACGGCTAGCGATAATACGTCCATCGATGACAAGATAGACGATTTTTGCGAAAATCCCACGCGAGATGCATTAACGGAGGGTCTCATGAGCCTTCTGAAACCTACGGTGGACCAATTGGATGATAGGATTCGTGCTACAAGGTAACAGCAAATTTTTCGGATCACCATTGTAAAATGTCATTGTATCTGGACATATATTGTTTCATTCATTTTTTACGAGATATAATATTTTTAATGAAGAACCTGCGTTTCAGATTTTACTGTTAGTATTGGAAATGTATAATTTACGTCACATATAGATTTTCATTATAATAAAACGCTTAAATTATAATACTTTATTTGTATGTTGCATGTTATATGTAAATATGTGAAAATCAATGTTAATCGTTTAAGTGTATAATGAATAGCGGAAAATTATTGATTATTGAATTTTAAAAAAGAGATGACATGTTTTTTTACTATTTATACTATTTAATACTTCTTATACTATTTGAAATATATATCAAATAAATATATTTCGATTATGAAGAAATTAAAATAAACAAAATAAGATCTTTTAATATTTAATTAAAAAATAAATAAATAAAGAAATCTAATGAGTCATCTTGAATTTTAATGTTCATTGGGATAAAACAATAATACGTATACTTATGCGTATACTTATACTTATATGTATACTTATACGTATTAACCTATTTCTTTACTGTGACATTAATGTCAATGATTTTCAAATAAAAGTTGTAAATAATTAGAAATGTAATTTAAACTATTTGCATATACTGATAAGAAAAAAATGTTTTCTTTTATGATATCAAAAATTATGTTGAAAAAATTATTATTTATCAAATATGAAGTTCAGAATTATATCATTAATTAACTGGGTTGCCATCTCAAATCTTAAATTGGATCTTAATTATTGTTAATTTGGAAAGTAGTCAATATAGTTTGTATGCATAGAAAATTAAGTATATATCTTGTACTTAATATTATTTAAAATCAAATAATTTCCAAATTATTTAAGGAATTATGCTTATTTTTATATAGATATATAAAAAACTAGTAGGACTATATGTAATTTTTATGCCTCTATCAATATTTTTATGTATGTCATATTAATGTATGATATATTCTTAAAAAAATTTATTGATTTGATTTATATGCAACTATTTCTTATGTTATAGGATATGTCAAATTGAGCTGAAGCAACGAATTGAATCCTTAACGGAGGAACTTCAGAGAATCAACGAAGCATTGCAATATCCACTGGACACAGATTCTTATGTAAAAAAACTTGTTAATGCAAAGCACAAGATTACCATTGTTAGCAACATCTTGCAAACTACTCAAGAGCGGTTGAACAAGATACATCAAGCTGTTGAAAAGAGTACTGCCAAAAGAAAGACACTTTTAGATAACAGTTCTACATACAGCAGCGCAACTGTTGAAACGGATAAAGAAGAACCAGTCAAAACGGAGACTGATAAGTAATCATTTTCGATATTAATTGAACAATTTATAGGATATTATTACTAAATTGTTACTACAAATTATTGTTTTATAAGTTTTATACAAAAGCGTATTACATTTTTTCTTGTAACTTATGGAGACTCCAATAGTTAAACTATCTGATGAAGAGCTTAAAACAGTTTATGAGCCTTCTGAAGATTCCTATATTTTAATGGATGCTTTGGAAGTAGATTTAAAGATTTTGCATATGATGAAACCTATGATTTGTTTAGAGATAGGTAGTGGTTCCGGCATTGTTATTACAGCTCTAGCAATGGCATTAAAGAGATATCATAATGCTCATTTTATGGCAATTGATATAAATCCTGATGCATGTAGAACCACGAAAAGAATTAGTCTAATTAATTCGGTCGATGTAGATGTCCTTCGTATGAATTTAGTAGATTGTATACGGATTAAATATACATTTGATATTATTATATTCAATCCACCATACGTAGTTACAGAATATGAAGAAGTGTTAGACGATAGACTTATATTTAAAACTTGGGCAGGTGGTAAAAATGGTAGGCAAGTTATGGAACAGATATTTACGGTAATTCCAGAAATATTATCGGACACAGGGTTGTTTTATTTGGTTGTTATCAAGGAAAATGATCCCGAATATATCTTAAGTGCTTTTCAAAAATTAAATATGTGTGGTAAAGTCGTTTATGAGCGAAAAATAAGAGGAGAACATTTGTATGTTTTACGTTTTTGTAAAATTAAGAATGTGAGAAGTTAATGTCATACATGTTAGGTTTATAACATATATAAGACAAAAAATTTTTAATTTTATAAAAAAAAAAATAACGCATCATTTCATTATTCGTATGTTTTTTTTTCGTAATTGTGATTAATATTTATAATGATAAAATAAGCAGCGTACTACATTTATTCCAATAATCTTTTTGTATATAATGTTATTTATTGTACTTTTTGTGGATAATGTTGTTTATTTGTAAACTATTTTTATGTATCATATAATTGCAATATAGACATAATATGTTATCCAAAATAATATAATTTCTTATCTACATAAATTTTTATTATATTAAGCACTAATTATAATTCGTTTAGGAGGAAGATGATAAAAGAAAGACTACATTTTTCTACAAATATTATAATTTATTTTCGAATACTTAAAACTTATATTACGCTGATATTGAAATATTGCACATAAATACCATATCATATCGGTATTCGAATATTACGCGATACGAGCACTATCGTGATTCGAGGACTACACGAATAGTTTGTACAAGATATATTTATAAATTGATAAAATATGGCTGCTTCCCTGTTCTGCTATCGAACAAAACGAATTTTTATTTAGAAAAATTAAAATTTTATTAAAATTTTTTTATATATAAATCTTTTAAAGCAACAAAATCAAAGAAATTTAGTATTCGCCAATTAACGATGATAATGAGTTTATTTTAATTATTTCAATTTAGCAATTTCTTCATAATTTAGAGATTAAAGCGATAAAGTAATTACTTACTATTTAAGTTATAATTTATTATGCAATTATTTGATTTCTGGCACGCGTTTGTCATCTGCTACGCAACTTCTTTCCTGGCATTATTGCAATAAAGATATTATAAAAATAATATCTTTCTACGAATCCACAGATTTCGGTCTGCGGATTCGTTGTAATTTAATATATAGCACAGCCGCGCTTATCGTCGCGATGAAGAGCGTGCTCAACATTAGAGAGAAAGTCGTGTAAAATCCACTGTTACTCATGCAAACCTCTTTTGCTTTTGTAAGCGCCTCGACAGCTGTTTCCTCCATACTATCCAGGATTTGACTGGATGCTGTGCTTAAATCATCGAGCATAATCACTTTAAAACGTCGTCCTACACGAACCGGATCTGATAACAGAATTGAATTCGTCGAGGTGTTTGAAGATGGTGCATATGTTACAGAACGACGACGTCTTCCTGGTTCAATTTGCTAAAACAAATTGTTTTAAATATAATATACATATATATATATACATATAATGAACTATATAAAAAATGCAAATCTTTTTTTTATGATCTCGCAAAATCAGAATTTATAAAAAATTTAAAATAATTTATTTTAAACTCTCATATTTTTTTTATTTATCTATCATAAAAAATAAATTTATATATCGTGCACATGTTTTATCTGTGGATGGGATACTTAATTCTAATAAATATTATATATATTATATTGATTATTGTATAGTGTCTTACTTGATTTGCTTCTGGACAAGGCTCGCAATTTGTTTTACATAACTCGACATTACATTCGATGAATAGATCCATAACATCGGGAAATTTAAAAGCTTGAAAGAAGGCATAAGCGATTATAGAAGCGCCTGTATTGCCAGTATCGTTTGTTTTTTGGAAAGCACCGAACAGCTTTGGTTTCAAAATGCAGCCTCTTTCGTCAGTGAGCTGCAGCATATTGGTCGAAGCTTCATCTCGCGCCAGACAGTCGCGTACCTTGAAAATAATTATGATTGCGATAATTCGTTTAATTCATATTTCTTATTTGCAATCAAATCTCTCTGATGAAATTCTATCTTTTTAAAAATAAAAATAAAATGTAACGAGAAATAATTGCAATTATTTATATTTTTGAATCAGTTACCATATACTGTTACCATATATATTTATATATTTTTCGATATATTAGAATATAAAATGATTTTTATGCGTACCTGAAGATCGAACCCGGGATCACCCTCCACGGAAACGACTAAGGTCATTATCTCTCCGATCTTTACAAGTCCATCGGCTGCAGGTGCGAAAGGTCCTTTGCCAATTTGAATATCCAGCTTAGCTGTCGCAGTATCGCCGCTGAAGGTAACAATTTCCTGGTTCAACATATCTACCGAGAGATTCACCGTCAGGGCCTTATTAATGTTTCCTTCCCAAAGACATCGCACTCTTCGAACTGTATCCCAGACTTCTTGTATACCCGGTTCATTCTTAAACAGAAAAAAATTTTTATTTCAATGTCTAATAGTCAAACGATTTTTTAAAGTCTAATGAAATTTATATAAAGAACTCGAAACCCGAATTGATAAATTTAGTTAGTTTAATTTGATACCGACTTGTAATACGAGGACGTGTTCCAAATACGCTTGACCAGCAGCACCCTCGAAATCATTGATAAATTGCGTTCCGCAGGAGTCCAGACTCACAGTAAAAGAGTATTGTGTTAAACCGGAATTCTGTTTTACATATGTGCATTCTGGATTCATAAAATATCCCTGAAATTAGACAATCGATAAATTATTACCGATGATACTCGGTGACAAAGATTATTCTATTTCATTTACCTTAGAATAAATAACTCCATCGAAAGCGCGATTGAATTCAATGTTAATTGTCATCATAGTCTTACTGCATTGAACGTCAAGATTGTGAATATGTGGGGGATGACTGAGATCATCCTCCGTTACACTGGTCGCTGGACGATAAAATTGATTAAATTATTTCCTCATGTACTCTGCATTTGTACTAATTTTAACAAAAGAAAACATACTTCCAGTAGCAGTAACTCCAACAGTCCCAGTTGGTCCAGTAGGTCCAGGACCTGTTCCTGTAGTAATTACATTAGTACCAACGTCTACGCTTGGTCTTTGATCTGGTGGGGGGAAAGAAGGGCGTGGTGTTGCAGTAGTAGTAAAATATCCTTCACCAGTCGAAGGATATCCTCCACCAGTCGGATATCCACCAGAAGGATATCCTGATGCAGGCTGATAACCTGCAGCGGGTGCTGCATAAGCAACTCCACCTTCTGAAGGATAGCCATATAATATAGATATATAATATAATTCTGAAAATCTTTAGTTGGTATATAACTTGATGTATTGACTATAGTATAATAAACGAGCAACATTACCTAGTAGTACTGGAGGAGTGGCTGGAGCATTTCCGGATTCCTCGATATCTGTACTTACACCCGTACTTCCACCCAAAGAAAGACCTCTGGCAAGTGTGGGAATCCCGGTACCTGTACCGGTAGAAGATGGTCTTGGAGACTGGTTGGTCGGTAGGACAGATGGTGGCTGCGGTGGGAGATAAGTGGACGACGATTCCGGGGGATTCAGTGGTGGAAAAGCCGACGAGCCTGTGTTAGAATATGAAGGCTGACTTGGTCGAGGATTGTAGGACGTGGAGCCTCTGAAACCTTGCGGTACGTATGTTGACGAGGGTTGTAGATTCGGTCTTGGGGTGGAAAACGGTGTAGAGGAAGATTGCCTAGATGCTGGATAACCGACGTTCGGTGGGGTGTAAAGTGATGATGGCCGCTGTGCAGGATAGCCTGTTACCTCGTTCTGTTGAGAGCCCGTGGCCACCTGGAAGGGTCGGGGTTTTTCGGGTGGTCGTTGGGTGCTGAAGGGTGGCAAGTACGCATTTGCGTCCGATTGCTGACGAGCTGTAAAAATACGTAGACTAATCGGGATTTTGAAAATCCATTGTAATGATTTTCGTGAACGTAACGACGTTAATAAAAAGTGAAATTATTACAAAATTCTTAATTAGTTTTCTTCTTATTAAATATTTTTTTATTTATTATTTACGACAAAAATAAAATATTGCGATAAAATAAAAAAAAACTGTATATAATTTAGAATTATCATACTTTCTTAAAAGGCTGACTATTGGCAAAATAAGCTTAAAAAATGATCGTAATCAGAAGTTGCCAAAAATGCACTTATGATCTTTTTTATTGATCATCAATAATGCCTTCAAAGTCAACGAATATTGATTAGATTTATATGTTTGTTAATCTCTTTGAATTCTAATTTAAAAAAAAAACTTAAAAAAAGGTGTACAGAGAAGTGTGTGTTCTTAAGAATTAATTGAGAGTGCATTTAATAGTGTTTTGTAAGAGAAAACTGTCGGTCGGAACAAGCGTGCATTAAAGCCAATCCCAGCGTCGAATGAAGCCGACTTCCGTGATGTCCAGATGCAACGATAAAATGATTGATTAATAGCGCGGCGAGTTATGGATTAATAATTTTGTACATTTAACATCTAAATCGGTGCGGTGGCGTCGGCTGCGCATAGTCGCAGCTTTTTTTGCGCCCGAAACCACACAATTTACGTCCATGGTGGTAGCGTCCATCTCTGACCATCAGCGGCACTGAACTGTCTATAAATCAGCGCGCGACGTTGGACGAGCTAAATCTGATATTGAAATCGTGAGAAAAAGAATACTCGCAACGACGGGACGGCTTTGTGTCGCGCCTTTTTCCTGTTGACGACGAAACTCGGAAACCTACTTTTACGTGTGCCCTGCTGGTAGATGCCCTGAATCCACTCTAGGATATTTTGCGCCATCACGTCTGCCGGTGATACCGAGGCAGCAGCCCGTTGGACTCTCGAGCGTGCTAATGAATTTCAAACCATTCGTTTGTGATCAAGTTTTTATTTATCACCACCACGACTCGCCCTTCTTCGATTGATCGCGCTTAAGGTAGACTCGTAGAATTCTTTCGCATTTTCCTTACCGGGATCCGCGTCCGCGGTTCTCACGAAGAGCGCATGACCGCCGACATCCTGGCTGCACACCGTGGTTGCACCCGAGAGAGCGACGACGAAAATCGCCGCGATGAGCCTCATCCTTGGTCTGTAAATTTTATTTTCGTTAATGACTGGCCTCGTCTCCCCTTCTCGCTGCGTCAACACTCTCGATTTCGAGCGGTGTTTCTTCAATAGAAATAATCGTCCCACGCGAAATTCTACTCGATGCCGCGAGGGTCAAGTGTCATCGACACGTAGGATGGTGTACCCAAGGATGATGAGCCGCGAATGCGGTAGACCGATCTCCTCGTCGAAAGTAGAAAGTGATCATTATGAAATCTATGGCCATGATCGCAGCTTTTGACAGTTGACGTCACCGTTAACGTGCAAATGAGATGACTTATTGCGAGAAGAGGAGCGAGAGTGATTTCACCTCAAGGTCTGGGCTCTTTCCGTGTTCCGGGACGACATGTACATAAAAAAAAACTATGTCGACGGTTATGAAAATCGCTATTTACACATTATGTGTATTTATATGTTTAGGCATTAGGTGTTTCTTCAAGGTCTCCGTGTGCGTGCCGGAACGCGCGGGCTGCACGGAGAGCAACTACCTCGGTCGGGCTTCTGTTTCCATCGTGGATTTCGAAAGTAGCACCGCCAAAGGATATCACAGTGGTTGTCTAATTGGACTGTAATTGGCGGTGGAATCAACTCAAGGTTCCGAATGGCGCACGCGAATGAAATTCATCTTGCGGGAATTAACGGCAAGGATTATTTCGGCAACGCGATGACTGTATAGATAATTGTCCTGACGGCAAGTTGCAGCTGGCCGGGTGATCTTCAAGGTCCCGAGAAAATTAATCGTTATGGAAGAAGAAAAAAGAAATCGCGTGTAATTATTTCGACAGAGCTTTAGCGAAAAATTTAGCATTTAGCGAGTAGTGGCGTTCGTTTCTTTAATCTCGGATCGCGATCGCTAAATATCGTCTTTTTATGTATTTGGAGCTGGCGGTTGTGTTTCCATTATTGTTCGCTTCTTCTCACGTGTTGCGGCGTGTGTTAGCGGCGTGTTTCATCAGGGCGGATTACGCGCGGCATAATCGTGCTGTCTTGTCTCACATGTCTCGTAATTCTAGACCGTCTAGTTAGGGATAATTATAATACTCGTAAGAATACGTTCACGAGTACTTAATTTCGTATTTCTGCTTACTCGAATGCTACTTTCTTTCGTGTGGCATTTTTTTTTTTTCACGGCGATCTTCATAATTAATTTTACAGCGTCCGGGATCATCATAAATCCAGTTTTAAATACGATTTTGTCGTCGCGTTTATAATCGCATTTTTTACACTCTCGTGTGAAATGAAAAATGTATATGTTATAAATGAAAATTTAAATAGAAGCTTCTCATGCATACAAACGAATAAAGGACAAAGTAGACGGTATTATTAATTAAAATACAATCAAAATTATAATATTTAATTCACTCAGCAAATTCGCAATTGCGATAAATAAATTACAATTTTGCACGATAATAATTATTAGATTAAAATAATTACTGAAATACGCGATATTGCACACACATACACACACACACACACACACACACACACACACACACACACACACAC